CACGGGAGATAAAGATCCCCGCAGAAGTGTTATTATTAAGAAATGTAAAATGAATAATAAAGCACAGAGAGCTGATCTGTCAGGATTTCCTGATTTACTCTCCACTCACAGATGAAGGGCTTTGGTGCAGCTGTAAGAATTGTGGGCATCTCGCCGCCTGCTACGCTTCAGTGTGATAAACCTTTGTTTGCTCGCTGCCAGCGCAACAGACAGAGAGTGAAACAAACTAATGAAAGAAAATCCAGGCGTTGAGATTGTAGGTGAGATCACACTCGGCTGCAAATAAGCTCAGGCTTGGCCAAAGCAGAGAGAGTATGAGAGGAAGGGAAAAACATCCAGGTAAACATGCAGCACGGAATTAAAAATAGGAAGGAGGAGAAAAACACCCACAAGTGCCTTGACTCCTGGGAGAGAGGAGCCATAATGAAATAAGCATCTGAAAGAGAGCAGGTGTTGGAGGCTTGACAGACTTCAGCTGCATAACAAGTAGCGCATTTACTCTCCCCTGCCTTTGTCATTCAAAACAACCAATCCTGTGGATAAATGCTCCCTTAGAAAAAAAAGAGAGACAGAGACCCCCAAGTGGAATCATGCCTGAATCAGCCTTTACAGACTCTGACTCTCGCACATAGACACACAGAGTTGGTCTCAGGTAGAGGGAAAGTGTGCCTGGTTCTGAATTTCAAGGAGCACGTCTGAGCTGTTTGGAGCCTAAAAAAACCAATAAGACATGAAGAATGCACCGGAGCTGAATCAATTCATTTCCTCACACACAGAAACACAGCTCCCTTTTGTTTCCCTCTTCCTCTTGGATCGTTCCATGGTGACAGACAGCCAGGACAGTTTTCAAAAAGACTCAAGGGAGAGCTCTTCAAACTTTAACTCACAGAGGAACTGAAGGCATTGTTGTATCCACCGCCGCCGCCCTGGCATCAGCACCATGGATAGCACTGTCACCTGGGTACAGTCACTGCAGCCTGGTGCCAGAAGGGGGCAGTAAGAGCTGGTCTGGAGTCATCAGCAGCTGGATGACCAGGATCAGTCTGAAGAGCAGGATCTTAGCAGGACGCTGAGGTAGACAGTTGTGTTAATCCTGCTGGCTGAGCAGAAAAAGGAATGGACTTATGTGTAAACTCAAAAAACTGCAAGTGGAGACCGGAGGAGGAAGGAAGGAAGGAAGGAAACTCCACCGAGCTGATGCAGCTTTCAGAAACTCAGTTATCCTCAGTTGTGTCTAGTCTGAATAAAGAGGGTCACTTTTTTTTTATTTCTCTAAACATAAAACACGTTGGGAAACATTTAATCAGCAGCGATAATAACATCTGTGGATATCAACGGTTCTCAGACAGTTTTTTGAGTGGCTATGATTCCACTTTAGTATATCCATAGCAATTCTAACCTGAACATTCAGTTTTGACATGTTGTAATTCCAAACTGACATATCTGTAATATAATTGTGCCTGGCAGCAATTCTAATTAAAGATATCTATAACTTCATTAGAGGTCAGCGTTTACTATTGACTTCTATTCAAACTCAATTACAGACATCTATAATTCAATTTTGCCAAATTGACATAATGTGATTATGACGAGTAGCAAACTGGAATCGAGCCATTGGCCTCTGCAGCAGGGACAAAGCCCTTGTGCATGGGGTGCCTGCTCCACCCACTGAGCCACTGGGCTCCCCAACTAGTAGCGAATCTAAATGAAAACATCTGTAACCTAATAACCACTAGTCAGCTTTTACCATTGACTTCTATTCATACTCAATCACTGATATCTATAATTCAATTCTGACCTGTTACAATTCCAAGTTAACATATCCATAATGTCAGTATGTCAAATAGAAATTCTGATTGAAGATATCTGTGACTTAATTACAAAGAATCAACTTTTACTATTGACTTCTATTTACACTCAATTACAGATACCTATATTTCAGTTTTGACATGTTATTCCAAGTTGAAATATCTATAACGAAATTTGACAAGAAGCAATTTTAGTTAAAGATATCTGTAACTTCATTACAACCAGTCAATTTTTACCATTGACTTCTGTTGAAGCTTAATTACTGATACTTATAATTCAATTTTGACATGTTATAATTCCAAGTTAGCATATCCATAACGTAATTATGACTAGTAGAAATTCTAATTAAAAATATCTGTAACTTAATAACAACTAGTCAGCTTTTACCATAGACTTCTACTAAAACTCAGTTACAGATAACTATAATTCAGTTTTTACATGTTATAATTCCACATTGAAATATCCATAATATAATTTTGACTATAAGCAATTCTAATTAAAGATATCTGTAAATTAATAACAACTAGTCAGCTTTCACCATTGACTTCTATTCAAACTCAGTAACAGATAACTATAATTCAATTTTGATGTGTTAGAATTCCAATTTGAAATTTCTTGGATGTAACTTTGACTAGCAGTAATTCTAATTTATCTCTAACTTCATTACAAAGAATCCATTTTTACCATTGACCTCTATTCAATCTCAATTACAGATAGCTATAATTAAATTTTAACGTGTCATAATCCCAAATTAACACATCCATAATGAAATCCTGACTAGTAGAAATTCTAACTAAAGACATCTGTTACTTAATTAGAACTAGTCACCTTCGACCATTGACTTCTACTAAAACTCAGTTACAGATAACTATAATTCAATTGTGACGTGTCACAGGTTCAAGTCAACACATCCATAATGTAATTTTGGCAAACTGTATTCCCTATTAATGATACCTAAAACCTAATTCTCACTAGTGGAAATGTTAATTTTGTATCTTAATCACAACAAGTCACTTTTACCATACGTAGAACTGATTGTGTTAATTATAAGATTATTATTACTGAAGCATTAGCATGTCAGCTGGAGGCTACTTAATGTAAATGTTGTAGCTGAGCTGCTCCAGGTGGAGCTCATCTTACCTGCTCTATATTCTGGGCATTTTAATCTATAACAGTGGAGCATATTTTATGAGGGGATCATGTTTTTTATTGTAAAATTTTAATCAGCAAAGTAACTAGTAACATTAGCTCTCACATAAATGTACTTTCCTCAGAAGTAAAGTGGAATAGAAGTATGAAGTAACATGGAAATATGTAATTGTGTAGCACTCATGTAAATGTCTATAGTTAATTTCCACAGCTGATGACATTTTCATGAACTGTGCAGGCCTGTGGGTGAGAGCGCTGCTTTCACGGTGGTATGAGAATCCAAACGATACAAACAATAAGCCGGTTGTTGTGAAATGGATCTGATAACATGCTGCGTTCAACAGCTCCTGTTTGACAGGTTACCAAGAATTCCTGTCCCCAGCAGGTTTGAATATGTTAATCTACAGCTGATCTTCATACACGAGACTGCTGTGAAACGTTACGAGAGGCTTCCTCATGTTGAAAAATCACATTCAGAACACTTCACAGTCTTCACTACTAACATCTGGGCTGCATCTAATGATAAATTACTGATTAATCTGTTTTAAACAACTGTTTCCTCCATTACTTGATGATCTTCTTTATAAACAGTAGAAAAAAATCATTTTAAGCTTGTGAAATGTCTCATTTACTCACTTTATCCAACAATCGGTCCAAAACCAAAAGATGTTTAGTTTACTGTGGGATATAACAAAGAAAAAGCAGCATTTGTGAAGCTGCAAGAATTAAATATTTGCCGTTTATTGCTTGGTAAATGACTCATACAACTATCAAAAAAAATTGCCAGTTGACTAATAGATTGATCATCTTATTGTTTCAGCTCTTAATAACTTTAATCTAAATTGGGTAAAATCTGCCAAAACACTTGCTGTATGACACTTTCAGATGGCTTGTTAATAAAATACAGGTTAAAGAATATGTTGGGTTACCACTAATACAGACTGTACCCTCACCAGCCATTTTATTAGGTACACCTTGCTAGTACCAGGTTGGACCCCTTTTGCCTTCAGAGAACTGCCTTAATTCTTGGTGTCAGAGACTTTGGTCCATATTGACATGATTACATCACACAGTTGATCCATGATGAGAATCTCCCGTTCCAGCACATCCCAAAGGTGCTCTATTGGACTGAGATCTGGTTACTGTGGAGGCCATTGGAGTACAGTGAACTCATTGTCATGTTTGAGATGATGTGAGCTTTGTGACATGGTGCGTTATCCTGCTGGAAGTAGCCATCAGAAGATGGGTACACTGTGGTCATAAAGGGATGGACACGCTCAGCAACAATACTCAGGTACGCTGTGGTGTTTAAACCATGCTCAGCTGGTACTAAGAAAATCTCCCCCACACCATTACACCACCAGCAGCAGCCTGAAGCGTTGATACAAGGCAGGATGGATCCATGCTTCCATCTGAATGTGGTTTTTCCAATCTTCTATTGTCCAGTTTTGGTGAGAAAACCTGTGTGAATTGTAGCCTCAGTTTCCTGTTGTTAGCTGACAGGAGTGGCACCTGGTGTGGTCTTCTGCTGCTGTAGCCCATCTGCTTCAAGGTTGGACAAGGTGTTGTTGCTTCAGAGATGCTCTTCTGCACACCTTGGTTGGAACCAGTGCTTATTTGACTTCCTGTTGCCTTTCTATCATCTTGAACCAGTCTGGCCATTCTCCTCTGACCTCTGGCATCAACAAGGCATTTTGGCTCACTGGATATTTTCTCTTTTTGGGACCATCCTCTGTAAACCCTAGAGATGGTTGTGCTGAAAATCCCAGTAAATACTCAGACCAGCCCGTCTGGCACCAACAACCATGCCACGTTCAAAGTCACTTAAATCACCTTTCTTCATCATTCTGATGCTCCGTTTGAACTTCAGCAGCTCGTCTTGATGCCTAAATGCACTGAGTTGCTGCCATGTGATTAGCTGATTAGCTATTTGTGTTAACAAGCAGTCAAACAGGTGTACCTAATAAAGTGGACAGTGAGTGTAAAACAAATAACAAGCAGCCGTCAGTCTAAAAGATGCACTTAATAAAGGTTGTTGTGTATTTGGACAGGGTTGGAATGAGCCGTTTTATTGTGGGCAGTTGAGATACATGAGTGTAAATATCAACAAAGGAAGTTAATGGTTGACGTCTGTACATTACATTCTAACAAAGAAAGTGATGGTCTCGCAGTCAGTTCAATGTACGCTCCAGATGCTTCAACTGAGACGCGCTCTGAGTAAGTTTACTCATTCATCTGTGTAAAGACAGTTCATAGAAAATATAAAGCAACTCATGACTAAAAGTTTAATTGGTTAACACTTTAAATCACACCTCTATCTATGTCTACGTAATTTCAATACAGCCATACAATACAAGTATACACGGTTATTTTTGTGGTTAGAGAAAAATACAACCAAAGAGGGTATGGAAATGCAAACATACAGCTGTTTTTAAACTTCTCATACATGTGATAACAGGTCACACGAGGCCGGCGGCCTTCTTGTATCATAGGTACGATCTCATAATGCAGGAGAGAATAAAGAAATAAATCACTAAACATAGCCTGAGACAAGTGTACAATATGCACACTTGGGGAAAATAAAAGCTATGTGAGAAAATAAAAATACTAATAGAGTGCTGCCTCTCTCCTCGCTCTGGTAAAAATAAGTCTCTGATATTTGTCCATGAGTTCCATCTTCTGGCAGCCGAGTGCCACTGGAGAAACAAAGGGACTGTGTTGGCCGGGGCTTCGGGGAATAGTCACTGTGTTCCTCATCCAATATGACAGCAGAAGAAAAGGGGACGCAGGAAAACTAGGTGAATTTCAGTGTTTTTAAGTCTTTTAATCTGTCAGATTTTTTTTTTATATAAATCAAAAAGTCTCAAGCTTTTCATTCCGTCCTCAAACGAGGTTTCAGGTGCGCCGCTAGGATGCTCTTTTTTTCATCTGTGTGGCTGGTGGAAGGGCTCTCATTGGTTATTTTTGGCTTTGGCGTGTGTGAGGATGTGAGACTTTAGGTTGGTCGACTGCGCGAATTTCTTATTGCAGCCGTCGAAGGGGCAGACGTAGGGCCGGTCTCCAGTGTGGATCCGCACGTGTGTGCGCAGGTTGAAGTCCAGAGAAAACCGTTTCCCGCAGCCTTCGAAGGTGCACTAAGAGAAAGCAGAGGGAGCAGGGGAGTCAGTCGTCACGCTCATCATGCACTGCGTTACAGCCAATTTCTGGGCTTAATTGACTATTCGCTACACCTCTCTCCCAAACAGCGATTGTCCAATCACAGCTGAGCAACAGCGGGACTGTCAAGATGAGGATTTCCCCACTTGTTAAGGCAGTGTGTGCATGAGGCATTTTAAAAGTTTGGAAGGCTTTTTTTAACCTTCCCAAAAACCAAAGACACAAGAGGAAAAGTTTAAGGAGTGGACTAAACCGTGACACATGCAGACTATTATTCCACATTTAATTTGGACATGTAAACAGCAGATTCCAGCATAATATGAATATAGTATTTTCTAATGAAGGCATGTGGGATATGCTGATAAAATTCAAATTTTAGGAGCGTTCTTTGGACATGTGTGCAGCACATTTGGAATATGCATCTCAACTGGGCAGTTTTCAACACACGGCCTCTTGCCTGTTTAGAATTGGCTCTATGTGTTGTACTCAAACCAACTGGCCAACAATTTGAAACAATTTGCACGCCCAAAAGAAAGGCCAACATTTCCAGTCAGAGGAAGACACACACCTACTGCTAAACATTATGAAAGACTTTAATATCAAAAGGGTTTTTGGATATGCACAAATATCGTAAAGCCCTCAATGGTCCGGTCCTAAAAACCTTTCTCTTCCACCTGGTGTATCATTCAGCCTGAACACGATGATCTTTTTTTCTTAAATTGCTATTTTAATGTTTGCACTGTTTTCTTATCGTTGTTTTCTACATCTATTTTTATTATTGATGTTGTTTTAACTCTGTACACACCTATGTGCAGCACTTTGGTCGTTTTAAATGTGCTCTAGAAATAAATCCTGACTTGACTTGACAAACGACATTAGGGTGCATTAATCAGATTGTGCATGGCTGCGCGTAAACTGGAATATTAGTGGACAATTTACTTTCATCAGTCATGTAGACACCTTAGTAGGACTAGTATTTTGAGCATGAAAATGTAGTCAATGTGTTTATGTGTTGCAACGTAAGCCAGCTAACTAGCTTACTTCCTAATGGAGAGTTGCATGAACGAACTACTGAACAATAGATTTGGGTTTACTTTTTTACTAAAGCCTCACTCAAGACAAATAAATCCACCAAGTTTACAAAGCCATACTGGGTAAACTGAGATTGAGCAGAGATGTGACTGTAGCTACAGTCTGAGATCTCAAGAATTAGTTTTGTTGTCTGTTCCTGGTGCTCCGACTGAGCTGGGAAAGAAAGCTTTTATGTGCTCTGCTGCTCTCACTTACAATAACCTTCATGAACTGGTCTCTGCCTGATTTTAAAGCTCTCATAAGTACGAGGATGAATGAGTCAGTTGGGTCTTGTCATTGTGTGTAGGTGTTATAATATTTCTACATGTTACTGTGCATCTTTTACGTTTTTTATTGTGTGGTTATTTGGCTGTAACTTTTTGTGTGCTGCTGTCTCGGCCAGGTCTCCCCTGTGAACGAGATCACTGATCTCAACAGGACGTACCTGGTTAAAGAAAATAAATAAATAAAAATGTAGTATTTTCCCACCACGTGGAAGCTGGTTGATAACACTGAAGGAAGTTAAAGTTAAAGTTAAAAGTACAGCTGCTAATGTTACGCAAAATAATGTTTCCTTTGTCAAACACATTGGTTATTGCAGATAGGTTTTGTCTTGTAACATTAAAGGTGACACATATTGTTTTGATCAATTACACCATTCTACAGTGTGTAGTTGCAGTTCTGTTCTGGCGGTTCTGATCACAGATGCTTAGCGGAAGTGATAAAGTCATTTTTAAATTGTTAAAATGATTTAAAACCAATTAAACGATATTTAAATCAATACTTTGTGTCAAATTATTGATATATAGTAACTGCTAGAGTCAGACGGTAACCGTAAAAAGATTTTAACCAACTCATGAAGCTAACGTTAGCTTCATTAGACAGCTAGCTACAGCTGTTAGTGTAAATTCTGGTAGGTATCAGTTAGGTATCAGGTATTGTCTGTGCACCAATCTAATATTATGTCATTTATTAATAACATTTATAGTAGTTTCACACCTGGATAAAACATCAGTCTTCCCAGAAATCAATCCATCATCCCTCTAAAGCAGTAACCTACACAGTGAGTCTCGTGCAGCCACTGGCAACAACTGTTTCAGAGTTAGGGCGGCGAGGAATTGATTTCCAGTAAACAATGTCATTTTTGCTGTTAACAAAATGTCAGTAATTTGGCAATCTTTTACACCGGAGAGCCCACCAGTAAAAAGACAACATGGACAGTATGCATGGCTTCAGTGGCGAGGGGTGAGCAATGCAATACAACGTTAGCAATCACCTCACATCTGTACGGCGTCAGTAGTATACAGCTGGTTTTTTTTTTGTTTTGATCGGTACTCAGTTTCACCCAATATGCAAATTCAGGCATTGGAATTGTCACTGGGAGGGAAAACGGGTATTGGAACATCTTTACTTGGAATACTGACGGTGCATTTGCCAAAGTTAACACTGTATACTGCGTGTGGGCAACAACAGAAAGCTTCACTGGCGTAGCTAAAGAAACACAAATTGAAAAAGTCTGATTTACGTGTCCAAAAAAATTGGACTGAAACATGTCAGTAATACTGAAGAGTAAATCAGAATTATGAGATTATTTTGGAGCATAGTCTGGAAGTTTAAGATCATGCAAAGACTCTGTTTCCTGTCAGTGTGATGGCTGACCTTTGATTTATCCACCCAAGACAAAGTTTTACTGGCGTCTGTTTCTTGGTGGGTGATGATTCTGAACCCCATGAGCGAGCAGTGACTTATATCTCATTCTCATTAGCTTGAATCTGACTCAAAACTGTGGTGGGCTTATGTGCTTAAAGTGTAAAAATAGTGCAGAGTGTGTCTGTGCGTGGGGGACTGTGAAGTCAGTCCAGATGCCAACCTGGAAGGGTTTTTCCCCTGTGTGAACAAGTTGGTGACGTTTGAGTTTGGAGCTCTCCACAAACGCCTTGCCACACTCGGCGCAGACGTGCACGCGGGGTCCGTGGGTGTGGAGATGCTTCCTCATGGCTGAGTTATCCCTGAACATCTTTGTGCAGCCCTGGGGACGACATAAAGTGCAGCACGCAGTTGACAAACAGCACAGACAAGCAAATAATGTCAGGTTCTCTACAGCAGGCTGGTAAACTCTGAAGTGCTGCACCAAAAGGGCTTTTGTTTCCTCGTGTATAAATGTCAAGCGTCCCCAGCTTAAACCCTGCAAAGAAGAGTTGAATCTATTCTTCCCTGACGTGGTAATGTATTGGTAACAGCTTCACACTCCAATGGCGGACTGCTCATACAGCGAATCACCCCTTACATTAGCTAAACACAGAGTTCAGATAAGGCCTGATTGTTCTTGTAAGTACATGAAAATCAATACACTCAAGTGCTTCTACAATTTTAAATAACCTTTACAGAAATGCTCAATTATCCACAAAACAACAACGCAACAGTGTAAGACTATTAAACCTATCAGGAACTCTGAACTCTATTTGAGTGAAGTACAGTCAGGGTTCACCCGGGGACATTAGACTCACTTTATGAGGGCAAGCTATCGTCCGGGGAGCATCGTCCTCTTTGACTTTCCTGGGCTTCATCCTGTTCAGGAAAAAAAGGGGGGACATGGTTTAGAGTTTTAAACAAACAAAAACAGATATACGAGGTTAAACAATCCCTTTCACGCAAGCTTCACTAGTTAAATGTTGATTTCTTTGTAAAAGTTAATCAATAACCAGTGTCGCTAAAGGGCAGCCTGTTAGAGTAGAAATATCCTCACATGACATTTCACCCTGAGGCAGCATGTTTACAGACAAGTGAAGCACACAGTGAAGATTCAGTGAAGTTATTATGGTAAATAATTACATAATACACACTCACTGGTCTCACAATAAAATATGCTTTGTTTCCATTTAGCTGACCTGCACATACAAGACTACTAGTAGATAGCAGGGTTGTAAGAATATATTGGTAAACTTGAGTATCACACATCTATTCTCAAAAACACTATTTTTTATAGATTTTCATTCATTTCAATGTTTTAATCTTATTAATTTGTTTACCTAAATAATCCTGCGAGCACTTTTTAAACCGACATAGGTAAATGTTGAAGCCTTTGCTCAAATTGAACAACACAATGTTGGATGTCACAGGGACTGTGAAAAATACAAACGCAGACCCCACTGTCCTGATAATATATGGTGGTGTGTTCTTTATACATTCCCTAAAAATTCTATTATTAAAAATAAATCGCAATATATCGCCTTGATTACAGTATTACACTATATTAAATTGTCACCCTGTACCGTGATTCATATCACATGGCCAGTTTCTCGCCAATAGAGTGCCCCAGGAATGAGTCCTAGAACTAGGAAATGAGTTAGCACGTTAGCATTCGTCTAAAAGTCAATGGGTTTTTGTTAGAAGCTAAAATAATGTCTGTCATTAACACAAGCTAAAGATACACAAGCTCATGTTTTGTTCTATGATATGAAATCAGTAAATACCCCACTTGTGAATTTTGAAGCTTTTCTGTGTCTTAAAAAGGGCGATTGTTAACAAGTGGCTAAATGCGACTACAGAACGTCATCACAGCAGAACACAGCTTTACAGCACTGCTGTGGAAAGGATGTCAAGTCATGACTAGAGTTGTACCGATACCGATACCAGTGTCGGAAATGCCTCCGATACTGCCTAAAATGCGGTATTGGGTAACAGCGAGTACAGCCTATGACCAATCCGATACCACGTAATGCCTCACGTCATTACGCATACGCACGCTACAGGCAAACAAAATGGAAACGGAGCGGAGTTTAAAAAGCCTTCTACTGTAGCCTTTAAAATGTCTTTTTTACCAAATTGTGTGGCTGCACTTTAACCTGTGTCTTGATCTGTGTCAACACTGGATAACAATGATACAAAAAAGTTTTATGGCATTCATTCTACTATTATGTATTTATTTCTTAATATTTTACACAGAGTTTTAGGAGTTGAGACATACAACAATTCATATCCCATCCATTTTTATTTTATGTGCTGGTATCGGATTGGTACTCGGTATCGGCGGATACCTAAGGTTCAGGGATCGGAATCGGAATCGGGAGGGAAAAAGTGGTATCTGTACATCTCTAGTCATGACTGTAATGTAGTTGGTTTAATTTTTAAATTAAATTTAATATACTTTATTAATCCCCCTGAGGTTCCCCTGTCATTATCAATTCAATTTTTTCACTCCGCTGTCATTAACACACAGGTCTGAAAGACACACATGCACTAACAGGATCTATACATGCACAAAGTGGAGAGACGTCAGAGTTAGGGGGCTGCCATGGTCAGGCGCCCTGAGCTTTTACTTCTGGTGATTACATTTAGGCTTCAAAAATCATAGAAGTGGTGTTCCTTTGTGAAGATTATCTTCCTGACAAACATCTAAGTATCATAAACGTTTGTCACAGAGCTTATTTTCTGCAATAATCCTATAGGCTTTTTATGACCTGCACTTTCATAGCGCACTTCTAGTCATCTGACCACTCAAAGTGCTTTTTACACTACATTCACACAAGGTGCCACCTGCTGCTCAGTTTATAAACACACTCATACACTGTTGGAACAGTCGTAGGGAGCGACTGCAGCCTGGCAAAGCCAATTAGTGGACGGCCCACTGTACCTCTGAGCCACAGCTGCCCCATGGTGAAGGAACCAGGACAACAGTAACTCCTGTGTTGGCCTACGGAGAAACATCATCCCCAGAGCGCTCTATAGACAGCCTGAACTACTAGACCTGAAATATCCGTTCAATAAATCTTCAAAAATTTAAATGATTTCAAAAAAATGTACTGTTTTTTTTACAAATAAATGTATACAAATAAATAAATGTATACAAATAAATGACAGCTTAAATGGGTGAATAATAAATAATGCATAATTCTTAGTTGCTGAGCTAGCCTAAATGTTTCACTGACTGCACTGAAGACCTTTCCCTCCTTCATGTGTCACTTTAGTTTTGACCAACAGACACCTGTAAAACACAATCTGACATGTCTGAGCAGCAGCAACACACACACTGTTTTGTGATCAACCATTCATCATTTTATAACAAAATATAATGGGACAGGTCAACAGAATAGTTTCTTTGGGTCTCCCTCAGTATTATGTGTTGTATTTGCTGCTCTGTTGTTGTTGTTGTTTTTCTGTCTACCTGCCCTGGGACAACAGATGCAAATTAGCTGCTGGCTAATTTTGGTGCAATTACTTTTAATTGTGTATTGTGTCCCTGCAAAAATAAACAATTAATTAAATGAATAGTAAGAATGGTTCACCTTTCCCCATAATGCACAGCGCTTGATGCTCAAACATTGCTCATATACATAAATCAATATATGAAGACACACAACCATGCATGCATACCAACAGTAAACATTTCTTCATATACTTGTAGTTTTTTGTTGCTGTTCTTTTATAGGATTTTTTTCTCATTTTTTGGGAGATGAGTCATGTTTATCTCTCACTACATTTAACCTTTATGATAGCTTTTTTTGCATTTCAATGAGAGTTATCTGTAATTTGTGTTTCTCTCAGGAAACAGGTGTGTATACATTCTGTGAACAAGGGATGCTCAGTCCTCCACACACACACACACACACACACCTGGCAAACTCGGCCAGCTGCTTGGGGTCTGAGAGGTCGATCCCCGGGATTCCACCAGGTGGCAGCTTCTTCCCTGTCATGTATTCGGAGTAGTCCGGAGGGGAGTTCTCCCCGACGATCTGCTCCTCCACCACCGACTCATGGTCAATGTCTTTATTGTCATCTAGGAAGACATTACAGAGACTGAACCGATAACACATTGGTGTTTCCCTTGCAACAAACTGAGGGAGGGCAGAAATATCTCCGCCTCAAAGACATATCAGGAGTAACATTATTGCTGCATTATTACTTTGGATTTATATTAACAGAAAATGACCCATTTATACATTAGTGATTTCCCTATAGCTAATTATTTTTGCAGGTTTTTACTTTGTAAATTACACTGTAAACATGTAAACACAAATTATGCTAATCATACAGATAACACAACTCAACACAATGTATAGATATATATCTACAGCATAGGGCACATTAGATTTAAGACTTTTTAATGCCATTCAGAATGAAATTTAAGACCAGTTTCACAAGAACAAAAATTGTAGGAAAAAAATAACTTTAACAGACCTCAATTATTTTGCCCAAATGTTTACTGTGACATTAAATCTGACTTTTTTTGGTAAATTTAAAGAATTAAATAATCTTCTTTAAATGCTGAAAAAGTAAAAATTTCTAGAAACACATAGAAAATCCTGTTAAAATTTTATAAAATACTCTTGATGAATAAAAATGCATATTACCAGTTAATATATGTTGACAATATTCTGGCTGTTATTAGGGGTTAGCGATTGGATTTCATGTTTTGTTCCCTGTCATATATATGCTTTAAGTTTGATACCGGTTTTGAATTTAATAAATAATATATAATAAATTATTTTTGATGAAATACATTTCAAAAATATATCCCATTATTTTGAGATGTTACACTCCAAAATAAAAAATAAATACAAAATGATAATATTCTACTTCCTGTGTCTGAGCATTTCTAGGACTTGAAATTGATTTAAGACGTTACAATACCAATTAATTCCTTATTTTTTGATTAATTCATTTAATGGCTTTTATCATTTTTAGGATCCCTGCAACATGACAAACACGCAGAGTAAAAAAAAAAAAAAAGAAAGAAGTTAAGAAGGGCTAAAACCAATAAAAGAAACCATAAAAATAATTTCAGCCATATTTCTACAGTTTAAAGTGCAGGAAAACACAGAAAAATATGTGCACACACCTAAAAACTGGTTGTAAAACACTAATCTTTATTTCTAAATGAAAAACCAATAGCCTCCTTTCATAAAGAAGTGTGTGTGTGCAAATATAAGAAGCTGAACTATTGTATCTTACTGTAACCAACCAGCAGAGTGCACTAAAAATAGCTCCTGATGACTGCTGTGTGCTCTCAACACAACAAAATAAACATGCAGACTATCAGTGAGGAATATGTCAACTATTACCCCCAACCTGGCTGTGAAATAAAATAATTAAACCTCATTAATATCAGCTATTGATTGCCTTTTAAATCCCTTATCGATACTGATCACCTGGTCGATATTCCAGCGCACGCAGTACCAGCAGTCTGCACAGAGGCACTAGTTAGCCCGCTGCAGACGCAAAGCTGTCTGGTGAACCACCACCAACAGCAACCACAGCTAACAGCTAAACCATCTACTCCCTGAAATAAACAGTACATGACTCACAATTTCACGCATATTAAACTTTCACACACTTCACATGAACCTCCGGCGGTGCACCAGCTGCAGCCGAGCCGCCTGTGCGCCACCGTGTTGCGGCCTGCACAGATCCAAAACCCCAGCTGTCTCTACCTCCCCCTTTAGCACCGCCGCCATCTCTGCCTGGCCGCGACTATCGCCATTTTTTCGGGGCCGCCGCCATACTTACTAGTCTCGGGGAATATGGCGGCGCCCAGCAACACCTAAAACATGGCCTCCCTTCAAAACAAAAACATTTCGGTATGATACAGGAGGGTTTCGCATCGAAAACTCGCACTATTTGTCGCTTTTGGCGGCGGTGCGACGTAGCACTCCAGGAACTAGTCTGGTGCAGCAGGACAACGCCCTGGCAATGAGGCCTCATGCAACGGCTAACAAGGGAGCTGACAGACACGGCAGGGCTACGTTTACTTACCCGATGCCCACATTGTAACAGAAAACTCCCCCTCCAGTGTCTTTATCTGCACCTGCTTCTGTTCCCATTTTCTCCCGCCGGCCTCCGCTCCGCTTAAATAGCTCTTTTTGCCCGCTTTCTTCCCCCCGGTGCCGCCTCCCCGTTTCATCCGACCCACCGAGCTCTTCCCGGCCACAGTCACCAGAGTCTGTTCGATGTACTCGTCCTCCACCCCGGGAGCCGGCACCGGGATGAGGATCTGGTCCTCGAACCCGCTCCCGCCGTCCGTGTGCAGGTCCGAGTCATCCCCACCGACCACCTCCTCCCGGGTCTGGACCAGGATCACCTCCTGGTGGTGGTGGTGGTGGATGGAGCTGGGGTCGTCCGTGACCAGCGGCTGCAGCGCGATCATGGGCTGCCCGTCGTCGTCGTCGTCATCCCCGCCGACCACCGTGGTCTCGATAGTCTCCACCGGTATCGTTTCCACCTCTATCTCGTGGAGCTCCACGATCTCGGCCGGCATCTCCGAGCCGTCTGTCTGGATGTACAGAGTATCTCCGGATGCCATGTTGAAGTCCGCCAGCTTGCCTGTCTCATTCACGCCGTGTTGTGCTCCTTGTTGGACCTCACAAACACACTCACACGCCCCCCGGCTCTGCTCCTGCCTCCGTCTCTGCTCCCTCTTCTTCGATAACAACTCTCTTCACTCCGTCCCACGCCAATTCTCGTTGCCACTATCCTCTCGAACATAGAAACATCGCGAGACTTGGGGAGAACTCAGCGATAAGTTGATAACAGCTGCTGGGAATTTGCCAAACTTTATATTTGACCCAAAGACATTCATCTGAACACACATGATTCAATAATTACATTTGATATAAATAGTAAAATAATTATTCTATAATATATAGAATTATCTATCTGCATATGTGTATATGTACACATGTATGTAGCCTATTATGTGTGATGTGTATATATATTTTTAACTGTTTATACTTGTATGTGTGATATTTATATGTATATATATCTTATCTTTATATTATTTATATTTGTAAGTGTATGATGGCACCTTGGGGTTAATAATAATAATAATAATAATAATAATAAATTTTATTTGTATTGCACTTTACATTTTAGCAATCTCAAAGTGCTACAGAGCAGATAAAAAAAACAAAAAAACAATTGAAACAGTTAGTATTAATACAATTTAAAAAAAAAAAAAAAGAATTATTAAAAATGATTAGAAACGATAAATAGTTAAAAGGAGAACCTATAAGAGGGTTGGGAGAAAACACAAATTCGTTCCCATGTATTCTGTATGTGGAAATGACAATAAAGTTGAACTTGACTTGATTAACTATCCAATCCTGACCTGCAGCCATTATAAAACTTTACTTAAAATCTAGAAAACATAATATAAACCAGGGGTGTTAAACTCATTTGAGCTCATGGGCCACACACAGCCCAGTTTGATCTCAAGTGGGCTGGGACCAGTAAAACCACTGCATAATAACCTGCAAATATCAACCCCTTCAAGTTTTCCCTTTTTCATTGTGAAGAAGTTCATTCTGAAAACAAAACTGATGATGGACAGCCTGTGATATTCTGGAAAAAAGGTGCATATCCAACAGTATGTCCCAGTTTAACTGCTACTTATTTTCGTTACATGTGTTTGGGTTTCTTTCATAATTTTCAACTAAAGTGAATGCTACTGAAGAAGCAGGTTTCTTGATCCCCTGCCTTACAAACCATTTACAAATCTGCTGTCAGTGCCTTAGGACCAGAGTTCCACTAATATTGTTTTAAAATACATTATTTTGTACGGAAGCGTGGAAGCAAATAAGGAAATAATTGTACTGTGGTGTGGAAGCAAATACATAAGTGCTTCAATTTTTACAGCCATGATATACCTAATATTAAAATATAAACACCACTGAATTCATAATGCTGTAATATTTCACTTTGAAAACCATGTAGCTTACCACCTCTTAGAAACAAACAAAAAAAAAAAATAGAGGAAAGAAATTTAAGGATTTACAGTTCAAAAAGCTGGATTTGAATATATTATTTTCAGTTTCAGAATTAAAAAAAAGAAAATATATATATTTTTTAGGTTGTTCAAATTCAAATTTCGAGTTGAAAAAACTAGCATAGAGCTCAAATCAAATACAGGTGGTCAAAACATTCAGGCTCAGTTGCTTTACCTGTCCTGAGTGGCTGGGATGTTGTTATTTGACTTTTTTTTAACATGAATTTTTATGTCTGAATTTGACCAATCAAATTTGAGCAACCTCTTGTTTTACTTTTTTTCTTTTCTTTTTTCTTTTTTTTTTTTTTTTTACTGTTTTTTATATTAAAAAACATATTTAAATTCAGCTTTTTAAATTGCAAATCAAATATTTTATATATTAATTTTAAAGAGGGGAAATCAGCGAAAATAAAAAAAATAAAAATAAAAAAGTATTTTAATGCCATGGATGCTACGTTATGATTGGCCAGTCTGCGTCCAGGGGCGGGACTTAACGAAGCAGGATCTGTGTGACGTGCAGTTACTCTCCACATCAGCAGGGGGCGACATTTCCTCACATAAGGTAACTGCACTGAGTAGGCTAAAACAAAGAGCCTAACTAGCATTAACATCCTTAATCACTGTTAAGGATGCTAATGCTAGTTAGGCATTAGCACTAGTTAGATAAAATAAAACTACTAATGCATAAATGTGTTTATTACCTTAATATTGAAGCTTTTTTGCAGGTAGCAGTCAAGTCTTAAGTTTATCCATCATAATTTATGTGGTCGTTATATATATACCTTTTATTATTAGTCTGAATCTGCAGTTTGCAGTTTTGTTTTTTTTAAATTATGATCCACTACCAAATCAAATTAATTAAATGATCAATTGGTTTACAAAATGCCCAACATTGCAAACGTCCATCACAAGTAATAACACAAATCATATAATAAAGGTGGGGTAATCTGGTTATAAGGGTTAAGATCAGAAAGATTTTTTTGTATTTTTTAATACCATATGTACTAACCATGATTGGTATTATTTTTTAAGGGTTAGTTTTAGCTAATTTAATTTAATTTTTTTATTTAGACCTCAACTGGAAACTTGCAGAATTGTTTGTAATCAAAGAAGAGTTCATTTTAGGCTTTTTATCTTTCATTGTCAGTTCTGTGACCTTTGACCTCAACTGTACACTATGGAGTTCAATCAGTCCTGCCTGTGCTGCATCAGATTAAGATAATTAGATCTAGATACTGTTATAATGATCACACCCAAATGTAAATATAGTTTTACTGACTAAAGACGTTGATGGTTGGTGTGGAAGCAAATAAGGGACGTAAGTGCTTAAAAGTTTACAGCCACACTATTCTTACTATTGAAATATAAACACCATCGAGTTCATAACACTGAGCATGTAGCCTTCACCTCTTCCAAACAAAAAATAAAAGCAAGAAATTTCCTGACTTGCAATTCCAAAAGCTGAATTTGAATATATTTTTTCCAATTAAAACAAACAAACAAAAGATTTAGGTTGTTTAAAATCGATTGTTCAAATTCAGATCTAAAAATTCAAGTTGAAAAAAATTAACATAGAGCTAAAATCAAATACAGTTGGTCAAAACATTCAGGCTCAATTACCTGACCTGTCCTGAGTGGGATGCTTTTTGTTTTTTTTCAACTTGAATTGTAAAGTCTGAATTTGACCATTCAAATTTGAGCAACCTGACTCTTCTTCTTTTTTTTTTTACTTTTTTGTGTTACTGTTTTTTTTTTTACACAAAACATTTTTACAATCAGCTTTTTAAATTATAAATCAAGAAAGTTTACATTTTAATTTCAAAGAGGTGAATTCAGCAAAAAATAAATAAATTTAGCTACATGGTTTTCAGAGTAAAATATTTTAATGCTATGAATCCAGTAGTGTAATATTAAATATTCAGTGCCTTTAAACCCTTTGGAACCTGAGCTTGATTTCTTTTAAAAACATAACAAGAAAATGAGAAAAAAAAAACCCCTGCAAGAAGTAGTAAAAACAGAAAATTAAAAACAAGAAAATTAGTGAAAAAAACAAAACAAAAACAAAAAAAGCAAAGAGGGTAATGACCTGGAAAAAGAACTTAAAATTATAGTAAATCTGACAAATAATTCAAAAATAAAATACTACTGCTACTACTAATAGCAACAATAATATAGCTTTCCCTAAATTAAAAAAAAAATAATTTAAAATGTATTTTACTTATTTTTTTGCAATATGCGGGACATTTCTTACCAAGTTGTTCATTGCCTTTTCCCCATATTTTTGAAAGAAGCTCAGAGTTCAAAGGTTTAAATATCTGTGAAAGGCATCTAAAAGCAGCACAAGAAAAGTGATGTCACTCCAGGTTTCAAAGAGTTAATATTCAAATCATATGTCTCCCATTTGCTTCCATAGATGGCCAGATAAAGAAAACATGAAAGAATAAGAAAATAAAGGAAGTATGTTGTTTTATTTACGGTACCACAAAAGGCTGCAGCAAACAGGCCCTTAACGTTACACACCACACTCCTGTGGTTAAATCTATGCACTGGTGTTATAATAAGTTCAATACATTTTCACAGTTATATAAATACGTTAATGAATACCCAGTAAATGAACTAATCCATAAATATCTGAATGTTTTAACGTTTTGAATGTTTTTTGAATGTTTCTTAAACTGTGTGCAGCACTTGAATAACACAGTAAGGTTAAATAGGAACAGCTCAGATGTTTCACACTTGTGCTGCACCAGCTGTAATTTATGGCACTTATTTAATATGTACAAGTCTTTGGGTAAAGTGTCAGACAAAATCACCAGACAGGCATCAAAATAGCACCATAAACAACACAAAAGGAAGAGACGGCCTCGTTTATCCAAGACATTGTTCACAGTTTTATTTGAATTCATTTTAGTGTGTTTCGTTTTTTTTTTGTTGTTTGTTGTCAAACCAGGAAGCACTTTGTCATAAAAGGAGAGAATAAAATGAACAATACTTCACCATATCCTTGCAGCCAATAAACATTTTATTAACAACATGATCACAAATACTCTGGTGCATTATTTATTTATTTTTTTTGTTGTTTATAAGATTGCAATATCCAAAGATTTCACCCTCGGTCTATCAGGTCAGAGCCTGTTGTTTCTCTGCCGTGTTTCCACACGCAGCTGTGTCGGCCAAAAGGATAAAAAACCTTCCAAAAAATGTTCCAGGTTAGACGATGAGAAACTTTTATTTTTTGGGATGTGCTTGCAGCTGTATCTAAAACAAAAACAAATGAAAACAAACAATAAAAAATACAAAAGGCTGACATAAAATGATGTGCAATAATAATTATGAACATTATCATTACTATCATATTCTCATGATCATTTCCTCATTATTACCATTGAACTCACTACACTACTACGACTCAGATCCACATGACACTGACAATCATAAAAATGATAGTAATAATAATGAAAATGATAGTAATAATAATATAAAAAAAATTAAACTTGTGAAAAAAAGCAAAACAAATAAAATCATGTGAGTTTTATCCGTTTTCCTTCAGGCCGAGGACAGAGGGGCGAACTAACAAACAGACAGAACATGTTAAGAACTCAGAGGAATCAGTGCGAGAGTGAAGCCCCGGTCACGTCCAGACAAACAAACCAAATGTTACACAGACACGTCTGAGGTGTTACAGCAACGTTTCCGCGTTGCTTC